ACCACCACCACCATCACCACCACCACCATCACCACCACCATCACCACCACCATCATCACCATCACCACCACCACCATCACCACCACCATCACCACCACCACCACCATCACCACCACCACCACCATTACCACCACCACCACCACCATCACCACCTCTCTCTCTCTGTGTGTCTCTCTCTCTCTCCATGTCCCAGTGTCTCTGTGTGTCTCTGTGTGTCTCTGTGTGTCTGTGTCTCTGTCTGTGTGTCTCTGTCTGTGTGTCTCTGTGTGTCTCTGTGTGTCTGTGTCTCTGTCTGTGTGTCTCTGTCTGTGTGTCTCTGTGTGTCTCTCTCTCTGTGTCTCTCTCTCTCCATGTCTCTCTCTCCGTGTCTCTGTGTGTCTCTGTGTCTCTCTGTGTCTCTCTCTGTGTCTCTGTGTGTCTCTGTGTGTCTCTATGTGTCTCTGTGTGTCTCTGTGTGTCTCAGTGTCTCTGTGTGTCTCTGTGTGTCTCTGTGTGTCTCAGTGTCTCTGTGTGTCTCTGTGTGTCTCAGTGTCTCTCAGTGTCTCTCTGTGTGTCTCTGTGTGTCTCTGTGTGTCTCTCTGTGTCTCTGTGTGTCTCAGTGTGTCTCTCTGTGTCTCTGTGTGTGTCTGTGTGTCTCTGTGTGTCTCTCTGTGTGTCTCTGTGTCTCTGTCTCTCTGTGTGTCTCTGTGTGTCTCTGTGTCTCTGTATCTCTCTCTCTGTGTCTCTGTGTGTCTCTCTCTGTGTGTCTCTGTGTGTCTCTCTCTGTGTGTCTCTGTGTGTCTCTCTCTGTGTGTCTCTGTGTGTGTCTCTCTCTGTGTGTCTCTGTGTGTCTCCGTGTCTCGCACAGTGCACACTCCGTCTCCTATCGTCACGTCCCCATGGGAGTCGTCTCACCCTGGCCACTGGCTACTTGAACGTCCCCGATTCTCTCTCTGTGTGTCTCTGTGTGTCTCTGTGTGTCTCTGTGTGTCTCTGTGTGTCTCTGTGTGTCTCAGTGTCTCTCTCTCTCTCTGTGTCTCTGTCTGTGTGTCTCTCTGTGTGTCTCTGTGTGTGTCTCTCTCTGTGTGTCTCTGTGTGTCTCTGGGGCGAAGTCTCCGTGCTGTCTCCGTGTCTCTCTGTGTGTCTCTGTGTCTCTCTGTGTGTGTCTCTGTCTCTTACAGTGCACCCTGCGTCTCCTATCGTCACGTCCCCATGGGAGCCGTCTCACCCTGGCCACCGGCTACTTGAACGTCCCCGATTCTCTCTCCGCGAGGCTCCTCGGCAGTCGGGGCGACGTCTCCGTTCTCGCCGCGTCTCCCGAGGCAAATGGATTCTACGGAGCGAGCGGCGTGCTGGGGGCAGTGCCGCACGCGTACTCACTCATCGCTCGCAGGTAGAGTACTCACTCAGAGTACTCACTCACTCAGAGTACTCACTCACTCAGAGTACTCACTCACTCAGAGACTCACTCACTCAGAGTACTCACTCACTCAGAGTACTCACTCACTCAGAGTACTCACTCACTCAGAGACTCACTCAGAGACTCACTCACTCACTCAGAGACTCACTCACACAGAGACTCACTCACTCAGAGACTCACTCAGAGACTCACTCACTCACTCAGAGACTCACTCACACAGAGACTCACTCACTCAGAGACTCACTCACTCAGAGACTCACTCACTCACTCAGAGACTCACTCACACAGAGACTCACTCACTCAGAGACTCACTCACTCAGAGACTCACTCACTCAGAGACTCACTCACTCAGAGACTCACTCACTCAGAGACTCACTCACCCAGAGACTCACTCACTCAGAGACTCACTCACTCAGAGACTCACTCACTCAGAGTACTCACTCACTCAGAGTACTCACTCACTCAGAGACTCACTCACTCAGAGTACTCACTCACTCAGAGTACTCACTCACTCAGAGACTCACTCAGAGACTCACTCACTCACTCAGAGACTCACTCACACAGAGACTCACTCACTCAGAGACTCACTCAGAGACTCACTCACTCACTCAGAGACTCACTCACACAGAGACTCACTCACTCAGAGACTCACTCACTCACTCAGAGACTCACTCACACAGAGACTCACTCACTCAGAGACTCACTCACTCAGAGTACTCATATAGAGACTCACTCACTCAGAGACTCACTCACTCAGAGACTCACTCACTCAGAGACTCACTCACTCAGAGACTCACTCAGAGACTCACTCACTCACTCAGAGACTCACTCACTCAGAGACTCACTCACTCAGAGTACTCATATAGAGACTCACTCACTCAGAGACTCACTCACTCAGAGACTCACTCACTCAGAGACTCACTCACTCAGAGACTCACTCACTCAGAGACTCACTCACTCAGAGACTCACTCACTCAGAGACTCACTCACTCAGAGACTCACTCACACAGAGACTCACTCACTCACTCAGAGACTCACTCACTCAGAGACTCACTCACTCACTCAGAGACTCACTCACACAGAGACTCACTCACTCAGAGACTCACTCACTCAGAGACTCACTCACTCAGAGTACTCACTCACTCAGAGACTCACTCACTCAGAGACTCACTCACTCAGAGTACTCACTCACTCAGAGACTCACTCACCCAGAGACTCACTCACTCAGAGACTCACTCACCCAGAGACTCACTCACTCAGAGTACTCACTCACTCAGAGACTCACTCATCGCTCGCAGGTAGAGGACTCACTCACCCAGAGACTCACTCACACATAGAGTACTCACTCACTCAGAGACTCACTCACTCAGAGTACTCATATAGAGACTCACTCACTCAGAGACTCACTCACTCAGAGACTCACTCACTCAGAGTACTCATATAGAGACTCACTCACTCAGAGACTCACTCACTCAGAGACTCACTCACTCAGAGACTCACTCACTCAGAGACTCACTCAGAGACTCACTCACTCAGAGACTCACTCACTCAGAGTACTCATATAGAGACTCACTCACTCAGAGACTCACTCACTCAGAGACTCACTCACTCAGAGACTCACTCACTCAGAGACTCACTCAGAGACTCACTCACTCACTCAGAGACTCACTCACTCAGAGACTCACTCACTCAGAGACTCACTCACTCAGAGACTCACTCAGAGACTCACCCAGAGACTCACTCACTCAGAGACTCACTCACTCAGAGACTCATATAGAGACTCACTTACTCAGAGACTCACTCACTCAGAGACTCACTCACTCAGAGACTCACTCACTCAGAGACTCACTCACTCAGAGTACTCACTCACTCAGAGACTCACTCACTCAGAGACTCACTCACTCAGAGTACTCACTCACTCAGAGACTCACTCACTCAGAGTACTCATATAGAGACTCACTCACTCAGAGACTCACTCACTCAGAGACTCACTCACTCAGAGTACTCATATAGAGACTCACTCACTCAGAGACTCACTCACTCAGAGACTCACTCACTCAGAGACTCCTCCACTCAGAGCACTCACTCAGAGACTCACTCACTCACTCAGAGACTCCTCACTCAGAGACTCACTCACTCAGAGTACTCATATAGAGACTCACTCACTCAGAGACTCACTCACTCAGAGACTCACTCACTCAGAGACTCACTCACTCAGAGACTCACTCAGAGACTCACTCACTCACTCAGAGACTCACTCACTCAGAGACTCACTCACTCAGAGACTCACTCACTCAGAGACTCACTCAGAGACTCACTCACTCACTCAGAGACTCACTCACTCAGAGACTCACTCACTCAGAGACTCACTCACTCAGAGACTCACTCACTCAGAGACTCACTCAGAGACTCACCCAGAGACTCACTCACTCAGAGACTCACTCAGAGACTCACCCAGAGACTCACTCACTCAGAGACTCACTCACTCAGAGACTCACTCACTCAGAGACTCACTCACTCAGAGACTCACTCACTCACTCAGAGACTCACTCACTCAGAGACTCACTCACTCAGAGACTCACTCACTCAGAGACTCACTCACTCAGAGACTCACTCACTCAGAGACTCACTCAGAGACTCACTCATGTATATATGTGTCTGTGTGTGTCTGTGTGTGTGTCTGTGTGTATGTGTCTGTGTGGATATGTGTCTGTGTGTGTGTCTGTGTATATGTGTCTGTGTGTATGTGTCTGTGTGTGTGTGTCTGTGTGTGTGTGTCTGTGTGTGTCTGTGTGTGTGTCTGTGTGTCTGTGTCTGTGTGTATGTGTCTGTGTGTGTGTGTTTGGGTGTCTGTGTGTGTCTGTGTGTGTGTCTGTGTGTGTGTCTGTGTGTGTGTCTGTGTGTATGTGTCTGTGTGTATGTGTCTGTGTGTCTGTGTGTCTGTGTGTGTCTGTGTGTGTGTCTGTGTGTGTCTGTGTGTGTGTCTGTGTGTGTGTCTGTGTGTCTGTGTCTGTGTGTATGTGTCTGTGTGTGTGTGTTTGGGTGTCTGTGTGTGTCTGTGTGTGTGTCTGTGTGTGTCACTGTGTGTCTCTGTGTGTGTCTCTGTGTGTGTGTCACTGTGTGTGTGTCTGTGTGTGTGTGTGTCTGTGTGTCTCTGTGTGTCTGTGTGTGTCTCTGTGTGTGTCTGTGTGTGTCTGTGTGTGTGTGTCTGTGTGTGTCTGTGTGTGTCTGTGTGTGTGTGTCTGTGTGTGTCTGTGTGTCTCTGTGTGTCTGTGTGTGTGTGTGTCTGTGTGTGTCTAGGTTCTTTGAGCGTCTGCACTGCGGCGTAGCGGAGGCGGCCATGTTTGAGTACAAGAGGCCTGGCTGGACGTTCCACGCCAAAGGTGACGGTGGCCGGGTGGTGGTGGTGGTGGTTGTGGTGGTGGTTGTGGTGGTGGTTGTTGTGGTTGTTGTTGTGGTGGTTGTTGTTGTGGTGGTGATTGTGGTGGTAGTGGTTGTTGTTGTGGTGGTGGTTGTGGTTGTGGTGGTGGTGGTGGTTGTTGTTGTGGTAGTGGTTGTGGTGGTTGTGGTGGTTGTGGTGGTGGTTGTGGTTGTTGTGGTG